CATCGAAAAAAAAATTTTAACACTTTATCACAAGAAAACGACCCGGCCGATCTTTACCAAAAACTAATCAGCACGATTCCCAACCAATATCTTTCGAACCGTTTTTGAATTTTCAAAATCTATTTGGAATTGCGGGCTAAACCGTGGACGAAAATTTTTTCACTTTTCTGCGATTTACAAAGAAACGGCTTGGCTGATTGTCGCGCAAATTTGATAAACCATAGTCCTCATTGAGATACATCGAATGGCTTTTAAATGTTTGAAATTGATCTAGCCGTTTTCGAGAAAACGTCGATTTACGGCAAAAAATCTGTTCACATACACATACACATACATACTTTTTCCAAATTTGGTCTCATTCGATTTAGAATTGCTTAAAACGTCGAGAAAACATAAAATTAGCGAATCGGATTTTTTGATGAAAACAAACTTCTCCTTCGGGAAGTTAATAAAGCGTACCCAAATTTAATTACTTATTCTTCTAAAATGTAATTCTGAAGTTAAAAGTAAAGTAACTATTGCATACGTGCCGAGCCTTTCAGTGTGTTAATTTATTCATTATTTTTAAATTGGTCATAAAATTTACCATCAGATATTCGGAGTCCGGTCGTCGTTGCAAATGACCGAAAACCGAGCGAGTCAGAATCAAAAGATTCATATCCCAAAATCATCATCTGGTAACAGTGGATCAGTAATGACCCTACTGATGACGAATTAACAAACCTTCGCAAGGTTTGCTTGAGGTTGTTCGTACTAAATTTTGAAGAAAGTCGTAAAGGCCCTTAGCGCACTAGCGTCATCTTGCCTCAACAGAATAGAAGAGTTAAGGGCCTCATTCTACAGGTATGTAATACGCGACCGAGGGATTATTGGTGAATCTCCAATAACGTATAATTTTAAAATCTTGCCGATCTACAGGTAACCAAAAATATGTTACGTAATGGTGTTAGTAGAAGCAATTTTTTTTAAATTCGTTTTGATAAGTTGATAATTTTATCTCTTCGCAAAAAATGTTCTTTCAATGTCATAATTTGACAATGTGTGTTTATTGAGAATATGAAATAAACTCTTACGATTAGAGTTTGTCAGTTTTGCACGATGATCGGCCCAGTCGTTCCTTTGTAAAAAATCTACATTATAGCACACAATCCTAAACCAATTTTAAAAATTGTAAAACTGTACTGCATAAAATTGTAAAACTGCATTGTTGATTTCTGATTTTTTAAAAAGTTTCTTACATAATTTTCTCCACTCAAATTGCCAGCATAAAAAATTACATATATTTGACTAACAAAAACTTGTCAAAAAATTAACTTGTGAATTATAGAGGAGATATGATAGGGAGATGTGCTGATTAGTTTTTGGCAAAGGCAGGTCCACCCGTTTTGGAGATACCGAGCTAATTGTGCAAAAAATTGCAGTTTTTGAGAAAACTAAGCATCCGATTTGAATGATTCAAAAAACTTTCTGCTTGTTTTGACAAAATAATTGCTTTTGGAAAAAAATTTTGAATTTTTTTGTATATCGAAAATAATGCAGATTCTAATTTTAATTCTAGCTAAAGTTCTATGGCTAACTTATATACTTTAAATAATTAATTTAACCTTTATAATTCAGTTTATATAATTCTTATAAATATTAGACAATGTTACAGTATTTCAAAACATTTAATATTCTTCAAACATTTCGTTACGGTACGGGAAGTTCCAGAAATTTGCCTGCAGGCACGATGCCATACACAACTAGTTCAAAATTGTTTATGTGGCTATTAATTACTAGAATTAGCAGTGTTACCAAAAATATATTTGGAATAAATATAACAACTATTTTTTGAAAATGATATCGCATAAAAGGCCACCTTTGGTCGTTGGTACAAAATTGGGATGACCGATGATGCTTCCACTTAAGGACCACCCTGTAATATATTTAATTAGCAAATAAAAATGCTAAGTTCTGCGCCTCAGTTATTCAAAATTTTAAATTAGAAATAAAGATTTTGGTCCATCATATCGTAGAAATTTATATTACAGTGAGCAGGAACCTCATTTGAAAATCGGCCAAGTTCTGCATATAAGGCTTATCTAACATCTCGTGCAGATAACATTCTAAGAAATAAAATAATCTCGCATCGCCATATTCAAATCCAATGCAGAACCATTCATAACAATTTTATTCTAGAGCATATTGATATTCAAAAATTCTTTTGATTTCTCCTATAGTCGTTTACATGTTTTCTGATAAACGTATCCGATCGGAATTAATGTATGGTAATCATCTTAGAACAAAAAATACAACGAAATAACAACCATGGCCACGATTCAGATTCTGTTTTAGAATATGCGCAAAAATTATGCAAAGTTTGATAATTGACGTATTGAATGTAAATTAAACGCTATTTTTAGAGATATTTTTGAACAAATACGAAAAGTTTCATAATGTAGTAAACTTTATCTAAGGAGAAGAGTAATGAGATGTATGCGAACAGAATGGAAGAAATAGATGTATTATTTATTTGGAGAGATTTATATAGACGAAGCATAAAAAGACGGTCATAGAATTCCACGATTTTAATTTTAGTAACTGTTAATCATTTTGATCCCGCATAAATTGGATTGTTTAATAACCCTTGTGCGAAAGAATTTTGCGCGGGGGTGACACTGCTGTACGAGCCAGCAAGCCGCCCAATTATTTGTTGCACAAAATATTTTAAGATCTTCCAATCATTATTAATAGAAAATGTATCCGTATTTAAGAATAAAAAATTACATTTATAAAAAAAACTAAAAACCAAAACGAATTAGAATGATAAATATTGACCAAAAGTCGATAAACTTGATGTCGCCTATAGGCGACACTCGTATACCATACGCAATCAAGAGAATGTCGTCTATAGGCGATGCTCATAGCAAAAAGGTTAAAAAGTTCTAAAAAAATATTTAAATATACATTAACATTTTTCTGCTTATTTAAAGACCATTAAAATAGATTTAAAAATAGTTTCTAGTTCTGCTAAAGTAATTTAAAAACGTATAGTTTAAAAAATTTTGCATGCCCAATCAAAACTAATATTTAAGTTTATGTACCGTTTCTGCCACACAACAATGTTATGACAAGACTATGTTATGATGAACTTTCTATACTAAATATTGACAAAAGCCATGCGGTTGCTGTGCAGAGAGGCGTTGTTCTCAGGATTACAGATAAAAAACCTAACCTAGAAATCGCACAAATGTCAAAAAAAAACGATCTAAGATAACAGGGTCTTTCTGACTCAGCATCATAACATACGAGTGACGTTGCAGTTTATGTGTAAAACGCCTGTATGCACAGCAAATATATGGCTCATTAATTTGTAGAATTTTCAATCAAATCTAAAGACTATTATAAAAAACATCATGAAAAGAAAGCAGTATCAGAGAATTCTCATAAATTGAATTAATTAGTATTTATGTTATTTTTTATTGGTCTACTTACCAATAAGCAAAGAATTTAATTAAGTTCATTTAATATCGAAGAAATAGGTGAAAATTTTATATTCAACTAGCATTATTATATCAAACCATACATTATGAATTGTCGCATTCAAAAATCCACAGGCGGATTTAAATAGCATCTTGCATTAATAATTGTCGGACTTCTATTTCCATTTTTTTTTTTAAATTAACAAAAATTATGAAAATCAACCTTTTGACTGCTTGGCACAAGTGCTATTTTTTACTAATTGTAAGTTAATTATAAAGAAAGTTGAATAGAATTTTTTATAAGCATAAGAAAACTTAGATCGAAAAAAATATTATATTACAAAAATTATGAAAACGAATTTTTTGACTTCTTGGCACAAGTGCTGTTTTTTTACTAACAATAAGTTAATTCTGAAGAAAGTTGAACTGAAAGTCTTGTATAAAGACTTAAAGAAAAAAAACGTTGATCGAAAAAAAATATGTTATGTATATTATAATGAGGTTCTGAAAGTTAGTATTTCTGGTTAAGAAACATTTTATTAAAAAAAACTGATTTTCATTGCATCTTTAAATAGTATTTGTTATTTTAAATCGTATTTAAGTTATGCAGCATAAAGACCCTCCCCCCGCGTACCGGATTAGCATAACTAAAAAACCTAAAAAAATATGATCACCTTAATTTAATGATAAGCAAATTTCAATAATAAAAAAATGTCACCTTTTAGTAAGGTGACCATATTTTTTCAAGTCAAAACCGGGACGGTAATTTTTAGTTATGCTAATCCGGGACGTGAAGGGGGGAGGGGTGAATACTGAAAAAATTTATTTAATTTTAAAATAACAAATACGATTTAAGAATGCATGAATAACTATTTAAATCAGAATTACTGACTAAGAACTTTGTTATTTGTTTAAATGTTGTATTATATATATATATATATATAATTTTGGATCTATATGTTTTTTAGATTTCAAACTTATTATAAAATTTTGTTTAATTTTCTTCATAATTATTTAAAAATAATTTGCACTTAGGTATTCCAGGCAGTCAAGAGGTAATTTTCATAATTTTTGTTAATTTTCGTAAAATTTAAAATAAAAGTTCAAAATTATAAATGTGAGAGGCTACTTTAACCCGCCTTGTTCACATAAGCATACTAGTTGTACATAACATTTTCAGATATTTGATAGGTAGTTGTAATTTTATTATCAAGTAAGAGCGAAAATTCAATGTCAGCTCTACTTTTCGAAAACCCGGGACAATCCAGGACAAAAATCCAAATCCGGGACAAATATTGGTTTTAGAAAAACCCGGGACACAAGGTGGAATCCGGAACTGTCCCGGCCAAATTGGGACGTATGGTCACCTTACCTTTTAGATATAATGTAACAATGTACACCTGGAGTCATAGTCTTATAAAGCTGCAGGGTGATACACTTTGATTATTTATGTCGAGTTAACACATTACAAATTGTTTTATCATTACATTATCTATTCCACCACAAACAAATTAGATGCTATTTCGAATTCAATTTCAGGTCCTATGATAAAACCTCAGAATCTAACCGAGTTACTGACATTGAACAATAACATAATCAGCGGCCCCCAGCAGGCGCGTGTCGTCCTGTATTATTCGGTTGTGATGGAAACCATTGGATCGTCTATGGTTCTGCCTTGCCGAGCAGTTGGCAGGCCGAGGCCCGAAATATTTTGGCTCGACAACAACGAAAACATAATCACTAATCAAGATCCCAGGTTTAAGGTAAGTTTAATAAGTAATAACTATGTGCAAATGGCAGTTTGAAACTATTTCTTTTAATTTTTTTTAATTTTTGACCAGCAATCAGAACTTAATAGTCCTATAAGCTGTTGTGCTGATTTGACTTAATACTAGTCTGTTCGACAGATGGCAACCTAAACAGTTGTCATATCTTTTCATCAATTCAATTTCTGTAATAGGGCGAGTATTTTTATTGGTGCAGCAATGCCGGTGAGAACTATTTTCACTTGGCAACATATTGGTATCTATCTTTCCAAGTGAAAATTATGGGGCATCATACCCGGGCATACGGGTTTGATGCCGGGCATCATACCCGGATGAATTTGGATGGTTTACGAGTCTCTTTTTATAATTGTTACTATCGATCAGGAATTCCTCATGTACTCTATTAATATTGAGGTCTTTATGTATGAGGGCGGAATTTGAACCCGAACATTTTTAGCTCTATTGTCTATGAATCCGATTTTCAATCGACTTATCTTTACAATAGTACTTTGGGAAATCGACTGAGCTATCTAGACCTATTGTTATAAAACGCTGCAAGAATACGAATTACGCGAGACCTATTTTTAAGACTTCAATTATTTTTATTAATTAAACCACTTCTCATAAGCCTATAATAATTCAAACTGTTCAATTTGACTATCAACTCTGTCACTTTGCAAAGTTTCATTAAAATAGAAGAACAGTAAACCTGAGGTTCTCCTTGTGAGAGTTGTTGTAAAAACTTCCCGTATGTGTAAATAATCGACTTATCTTTACAACAAGAATTGATATAGAGCAACATTTAAAATTGCAACGATAAAAAATTTTAACTTTTTATTTTGAAAATAAAGATTTCGATTTAGATTGAAAACTAATCAATATGATTTCCAATTGATATTATAAGTTCTATGTCCTAAGCGTGTAGCTCATTATTACAAACTTTAATGAATTTTTATAGTTAAACATCTTTTCATGAGTCTATATCTTAGAATGGTCGTTAGGATCACTATGCACAGTTTAATTAAAATCATTAAAATAAAAATTTACGAAAACACTTTATGAAATATTGCAATCATCTCGAGGAAGCCAACTACGAGTTGTCCCATAGAATCAAAGTAATATGTTATTTTTTTATTGATCGGGAAAACTTTATTTCAAAAATTTTTGGTGTTAATTGTGTACTAGAAATAGGGTTTTAATAATATAATGTCATTAGATCGAGTTGTTATTTTTATCCAGATTTTTGAAAATTGCGGCAGTAATAATAAATGGCCCGATAAATCTTTCCCAAATACTAACCATCAGAACTAGCAATTCTTAAATGCTATCTATCTATTAAACAGTTTTCGAATTTCCAAAGTTGTTTCAGATTGCATTGCATGTATTGTTTTAAAACAATAACTGTTTGTGAAAATTATTTTATCTTGAGTAATTTTAATTCCTGTTAAAAATGGAGCAAACCTAAAGCAAATATTTTACTTGCAGTTTCCAAGTTCATACCAATTCTGCAAATGCAGTAATTTTGTACCATAATTTTCAAATATTTCAATGATTAACATATTTATTGCTGCGCACGCATACGTTGCGTGAGGCTGGCGTCAATAGCCAGACGCTGAACGCAACAGGTGTGTCCGCCTTCCATGCAATTCATAGTAGTTTAAGTAGAATAAAATGTTTGAATTGAAATTTTGTAATCAAAAAGATTACAAATTATCCTATTTGTCCTATTTATCCTATTTGGGTACAATTTCTAGCTAAGATACTTAGAAATAGTTTTATTTTATAATAAATGAATAAAAAAGTTTAGCTCAGGAGGAAGCATAATCAACACAAGGCTAGCAGTAAATGTGTTAATAGCATTTTTAAACAGGGTATACCGTTTTATATATCGTTTTTAGAGTATTCTATAAATTGCATAAGCACAACTATTATATTTTTTCGATTACACAACCCTGAACCTTACAATCAGGTTTTAAATACAAAAAACAATAAGAATTATGTATGAAAACTTAATGCAACGCATTGCACTAATTTACCAAGAAATGGCCTTTATTATGAAATTAGGATCCTTCATCAACAGTAGTAACAAAAATAGTTTTTGAGTTTATGTAATTTTTGAGTAGCTCAATATAACAAATTGCATCTTGCATGTCCGGGTAATTTGCAGGAGACAGTTTTTGCAGTTATGTCTCAGAATTGCTTCGGCAATCTTGCAAAGCGATTCGCATAACTTGAAGCCCAATCCAATCCTAGCCTCGAACAAAACATATTCAAAGCATATATTTGGAATAAAATTACTATTACCAACTGGCGATTCCTATGCATAGAGCGCTTGATATTTTTGTCCTCGAATAAATTCTACCATCGTTTATATAACTGTTTTCTATTTTTGGCAACATATGCAAATTTAGAATTATTTGAGGTTTTGCACCCAATTTGGCAAGAAGTATCAGGAAACACCCGCTAAACATTATTAGAACATACGATTTTGTTTTTCATTTATTACCATATGTTTTCACATATCTGTATCTCATGGTCAGTCAGACAAATTGTCTGGTGTAAGAATCATTAAATAGTTTCACAAATAGTTCATAATAATGTATTCACTAAGCTAATTATTAACACATGTCTACAAAATAAAAAAAAGTTTTCTGTATTGCGGCATATGTTTTCCAATGTAACACGAGATAAAGTCAAAATTGGGGATCAAATAGCAAAAAATTGAAAAAAAATATAAAAAAACGACAAAATTTCCGTTCTAATATTTCTTTTGATATCCAAAATATTTTAAGTTTTGTCGTTTCGTATACCTTTCTACCTTAGATGAACAGCAATTTGCCAACACATTTTCAGATATTCAAAATGCAAACATGGTTGCAGAACACACAGGGGCAACGTGGAAGAAATATGTTTGCAATTACTGCTGAATTACACAAAAAAATCAATAGATCATTTAATTGAAACTCATTTAGGGTAAAAAGAGCAAAGAAACGACAGAAATTATAAGATTTTTATTATATTGCAGAAGAATTATTAGATCGGAGATTTTGTCGATTATTATAGCTTTTTTTTTCAATTTTTTACCATTCGACCCCTAATTTTAAATTTAGATGTGTTCAGCTCAATACAGACAACTTTTTTTTATTTTATGGACGTGTGTAATTCTTGCATAAAAATATAAAAGCACATACGTACATTATATAAACAAACAAAAATATGCAGCAACTTTTCCTACAGTTCTCAGTATTACTGTCATTAGTCAGATGATTTTGTATTTTTAAAGAATGGGCATAAAAATAATTAAATAATTATGAAAGAAACCTCTTTCGACCTAACTAACTAAATTATGTATTCAATTCAAATAAAACAATAACCTCCAAAAATAAAATTAATTTACGATACTTCCAAACAAGTAACAAATCTCTCACCTCTACTTAATCTTCCTAATAATCTACTGCGTGGATTCTTCTACAATTCTATTTATTTCCAGAACTGCAGTATTATGAAGTTTCTTGATTTTTTTTTCTTCATCTTCAAACTTCATTTGCACATATAGACCTCGAATCGGAAGCTGCTGGTTTGATACCCGCCTCGAACAGCCCGGTGTCAAGCAGTAGTGACATCAGTTGCCACTTGAAAATATAAATAGCAACATGTTTTAATTGCTTGATTAAGTGAAAATGGTCCTTACCTGGAATTGCTGAAGTTACAGTAGAATTACATAAATTGTACCAATAAATTCGTCACATAGGATTAGTCCAACCGTTTGGGTATAAAAAAGCCACATCGAATATGAAGTCAACACAATAGCTCATAGGTCTTATTCGGTTCTGGTTGCTGTTACAAAATAAATATGAAAAAAATGTTAATATTTTTTCTTTCATGTTTTAAGTAAGATTTGAATTTAAATTTTTTCTCATAATTAAATTTTTGTCTATTTCTAGACATTACCTTCAGGAGAGCTTTACATCACGAGCCTGCGCTGGGCAGATATGGGGGCGTACACATGTGTGGCCAGGAATCCCTTGGCGAAGGATTCCGTCACTACATTTATATATCCAGTGCTGGTCAGTATTTAATTTTCCTGTTATTAATATAGTTATAAAATCAGTTTTTGATTAAATTGATAATGTTGCACAAAAGTTATATGATAATAGTTAGATAAAACACCTTGAAGAGCTTTTTCATAAATATTTTTTTGTTCAATTTCACGGTTGTGCTTGCAACGCTTTTATTAATATTTTGAGTTAATTTGGTTTCGCTAATTAGGCGGATTTAATTAAAAATCTATAAATTGCAATTCAATGATGATTTTATTAGACATCGATAATTTTGATACACTTTTTTGTTTCTGTATAAAAGTCATGACACACTTAATCTAAATTGGAGCTATTTGCTCCACACTTGTTAATCACTATTTTATTTTACACCATTTGTGGACCGTAGCATAGCGTTGTTATGGCAACGCCATGTTACACTTCTTTCTTCACACAAATTCGTAGTAACAATTTTCAAAATGCTATGTATTTGCTGTGCGATCAGGCGTTTTATACATAAAATCCAACTTCGCTGTGGTATTATGACACATCACAAAGATGCCGACAATCGCGGACTCTCCCGATTGATTAAATGTCATGTGCCATATGTTTTATTTTAATAATATAATAGTGATAATATAATAATAATATAATTGTGAAGGCTGATAATTTTGTAAGAAATGATATTAATAATATTTCCCCTGTGAAATAAATGTACATAAAATCTAATCCACCTGTTATAATCGGTTAATATATTAAAAGGTCTATGTTAGGCACTTAACATATGACATATGACGTTTAATCAATCGGGAGAGTACCGCGATTGTCGGCAACGTTCGCTCAGCAAGTGACGTCATAGTCCCTTCTATGTTTGTGCACTATATACAACGGGAAACATATGAGGACTAACAGTCCATATAGTGTAATGTCTATGAAAAAAATTCCATAACAACGCAATGTTCGGTTCATTTTGCTGCAGAATTGGCCCATAAATTGCTGTTGCTTAGTGCGAACATAAGATTATGTTTTCACTTTAAGAAGTAACTTTACAGTAATAATACTAAACATGATTATAGCTAAGAGGACCTGCAATTTTGTATAGAAACTTGCCTACAATTTTGTATCAGAATTCTAAGAGACTCTATCAATCAAATCATTTTTTTTTCAAAAATATATTTTTGAAGAAAGACGGTTTTTTAGATAGGTATACTATTATACCTAAAATTTATCAATTGATCATCTGATGCAATAAAAGAGCATTGAACAGCAACCTTTTTTGAATTTAAGATTTCAGAAATTTCTCCAAAAAATCATAGCAACATTATCAATTATAAAAATATTTCACACACTTTTATCATTATTTTCACTCATTAAAATAGTCTTAATTTCTCTCATGTAATCATTGATATATTTGGAAATTTTTCAGATGCTTGAAACATTATATTTTAAAAGACTATTTTTCATCAATTATTACAAAAAAATAGTAACATCACTTATATTTGAATAAAAACCTTCAATGTAAATCCACTACTAAAATTATTGACCCTTAATATGTACTGTCGATTCCAATGTCGATAAGAGCTGATAATTAATAACTGTGGACGTTAAAGACATCTAATTTGCTTAAAATGTCCATTACAAATCTTTGATGTTTTTATTAGATTTTTTTACTCAAACTTATAATGACCAAAGAAATATTTGTTTCAGAATGAAGAGTAAACGTCGCTTCGAAATTCGGCATTGTAACATTAATTCGCTTCATCACATAAAAAAGCTTATTTATGTATAATTGGACGCGGAAAAATCTTGTGTCTTGTCTGTGTACTTAAATAAATATATAAAAATAAGATAAATGTATAACTCATATATATTTATTTATTTATTTACGCTTGCGAAAGGATTATGCATGATTTTCGTTAGTAGGTTGTTCGATAGGACTTTCTAGTATTTATATTAATTTTAGTCTTAAAAATTCTAACTTCTTTTGAAAATCAAATTAGTTTAGCATTTACATCAAATTTACTAACATAAAATTAAGATTAGTCAATTTATCTACATGACCTATAAATTTCAATGCGATGACAAAGCATTTAAATAATATTTTCTATAAAGTGATTTTTTGCTGGATATAAATTAATTAGATATAGTAGATAAAAAATGCGGCACTCTTTTAATCAATTTTCTTTCATAATATACATGATTACCTATTTTGTTTTTATTGTTATTTTGGAATCAATATCAATTCCTTAATATCAAGATCATAATCGTGGACTAATTTCTTAAAATAATAAAATGTAAAATACAAACATGATGTGGACTTTGATTTGCGATTGTTCACTCGCAGATTCATATTTCTATCTATTCGATTAGTATAAAAAATAATTATTGCCTATATAATTTACCTGATAGTTAATAAAGCTATTAAAAAACATCAAATTCTTAAAACATAACCAAAATAATTTTTAAAAATCCAAAACATGCATCAAATTTGAAAAAGTGCATTTTTACCTTCGACTCGAGGGATTTAGTTTAATGTTATAAATTAATATTGCTCTTCTAATAATATAGTTAATTAAATAGTTTTCCGTAAATAAGTATTTTTAGAATTAGATTGATTTTTTATATTTTTTGGAAATTCATGCATATATCCTTCGCGTAAGTTTAAATATTATTCTGATATGTATTACTATAAAAAGACGAAGTTAAGACGTAAGTGTGTACATGCTTTAAATTATATAAATTAATTTTAATGTAATTACTTAATTGTTTTAAATAACTTATTTTATTTTAAGGCTATTTATAAAATTCCAATTCCCGCGTATGTATATATGTGCATTATTTTACCTTGACATATTTTTCAAGTCTGTACCTAATTTTATGTAAGTTTATAATTTGCTTATTATGAATGTAAATTATTGTCAAATAAATTATTATAAAAAATTGATGCCAAATGCATCGAAAATCGTTAGATCTGCTTTTGAGTTCAGAATTTTCTTAGGTAGATAACTTCTTTCGGAAGACGAATGCGCTAAGGTCGATAAATGAATTAATTTCTGACAAAGAAATGGTCTTTAAATGAAACCCTGTTTATAAATTGACCTAGAAATATTGTAATGATATTTTATTGTACTTGTATACTTGTAACTCCCAATAAATATCAATTAGTATTATAAAATGACTTCTGATTCTTTTATGATTATTGTGGTAATTTATGATTTTTAATCAAATATCATGCATATCTATGTATGTACATAAATAAAAAAAATTAGTGATGTTCATGGCATAGTGCTAAAAGGCAAATTGCTGGAACTTTCCGTACCGTAAATATTCGAGGAATATTAAATGTTTTCATATAGATTATTATAAATACTGTAACTTTCATTATTCTTATTTTATAGATAAAATATAAGAGCTTATGAATTGGACGACGACATTTATATAAATTTACAAAAAAGGAAATTGTCTAATATTTATAAGAATTATATAAACTGAATTGCAAAGTTAAAAATATTTATTTGAAGTATATAAGTGAGCTTTAAAAATTTAGACAGAATTAAAATTAAAATCCGAATTATTTTTGATATACAAAATAAATTTTTGGAAAAAAACATTTAATTTTGAAATAAATAAAAAAATACCATAATTATTTCGTCAACACATGTTTTGTGAACCATTCTCCCCATCATTACGAATTGAATGTATTTTGGATCATTCAAATAGGATGCTCCGTTCTTAAAACGGCTGGACTTGCCTTTGCCAAAAACTAATCAGCACATCTCTCTTATCAATAGGAATCGAATGTTGTTTGAACCATTCAAATCGGTTGATCCGTGCGCTCGTAAACGTCGACGAAAAGCACAACACAACACACACACACATTCATTTTTTCTAAGGTATACCAAAATGTTCAGAAACTTCTAAAACGTAAATATATGCAAACATTTTCCATTTTGATTTTTGGACGATTACAGAAACTTACCTAACTAGTACCTAACCTAATTAGTTACCTAATTGGTAGGGGAAGTACGGACAAATTTGTGTTTTGTTTTTTAAATGATATTTATGACTTTATTAAATGATATTATAATCGGTCGTAATCGTTTTTATTCATCTCAGATTTATTGACTACCAGTAACATAGTTGCTGGATAGAAAATTATTAAGAAAGGACTATAACAACATATTTATTAAGTTAATTTTGACCATTGTATAAGTATATTATTTTGTCCGAAAGTGATCAAAAATGGATAAATAATTAAAATTCAAACACCTGAGAATTGCAATAAAATAGATCAAAATCACTAGTACCGGCACAAGGTCATTGATTTTCATAAAAATAATAACAAATAAGAATAAATAAGTCACAAAAAATATGACAAAACCAAGATCAATATATCTTTTGAAGGAGCGATACACGTTTGAACTAAATACTTTGACAAGACTGTAGCAATGACGCTCAACATCTGACACAATTGTGATCATAGTTTCATTATATGATACAGTCGCGGAAACGTTACTAAAATTAGTAAATTTTTAAATAAGGCCACAGTGTCATTTTGCCCATGTTTATCATTTAATCCGTATATATATATATATATATATATATATATATATATATATATAAAGTTTCAGAACACCACGAACCATAAGAGACCGATATAGCCAATAATTAGGACAATAATAATAGATTATCTAACATGCATAAGTACCAAAAGATTCACTAAACCAAAAATAAATACCATATTAAATAAAGACCATTCTACATTTGTTTAACTTATATTATGCAAAACTGAAAAATATTACATGCTACACATGCTTTAATAAATTATTTTCTGACTAGAACCTCGTAGTCGCATACTCTGACCTCTTCGCCGTTGTATGGAATGTAAAGGCATCCATGGCTTACTTGGACCTACAAGAAAAAAAAAGTTAAAATATAATATAATATTCTAAATTAAATTCTTTATTTCAATTAATAAATAATAGTACATATATTATATAAAATTACAAGATAATAAGTACTGATCATGATAAAAATTTTGGAGGTTGCAATCAAAACTCATTAAATATTTTTCTTCATAGCCAAAATTTCTTCAGTCACAATTTGAAATTCATCATCATTAATGATAAAAAAATTAAATTAAATTTAATTTAGCTTTTTTATTTTTGTTAAAGGGCATGGAACCTTTATGGAACAATTGGGACAAAGTCGAGTGATGAAAAGATCAGGCTAGTAAAACATGCAAATGTGTAGATAATAAATTAATATATACTTCTTAACGTGGTAGATTTGCTGTTTTATTTATTTATTAATAATCTATAAAATAAGATGAGTTTATGTTTTCAAACCATTTTTTAATAAAAAAATAGATTTTTTTATAAAAAAAATTGAGATTGGGTGTCCACTTAAAGCCTTCGTGATAAATATAAATGTCGTTTTTTTGGGTGTTGAAAAATTAGTTTGACCATCTTTTACGCATAGATTTGAGAAAATTAAGTTAAAGAAAATTCTTAAAATTTAATAAATTTGTGGTTATTATTATTTTTACCTTTCCTGGGGTTTGGGCACCATCATGAACACAGCGACCCATGAATAATTTTTCTCCATCAGAAGTATGTCCAACTTCTACGGCTCCAAATGGAACCTCACCATTGCTGCAAGGTTCCCACATGTAGACGGGTTGATGTAAAATCTGAAAAACATTAAAATCTTAATAAAAAATATTAATATTAACAAATCCATAACAAATTCACTGCTGTTGCCAATAAATCGTCTTAGGATCATAACTTATAGTTGTTTCCAAAATTTCTATACAAATCATTAACGTAATTTGTAGAAAAAAGATGAATAAATATATGTACATATCTTCAACCAGATATATCTTTACTTATAAATTAATTACTAATATAATTATTTATAATATATAAGTTTTTAAATAATATAAAACTTCATCAACTAAATTTGTTTCCTTAAAGATACAAAATGTGTAAACTAAATTAAACTCTTTAAATTTAAAATCTTTGTTTAAATCTGTAAAAAACAGTACATAAAATATAAAAATTCAAAGATTTCAAAGCAAAATATAATACCAATTCTAATTAAATTTTCTTATTTGAGAGATTCGTATCAGTGATAAAAAAATCAAAGTAATAATAGAAACCTATAGTAATATATATAATACATATATAAAATATTTACATGAATTCTCACAGCAAAATTAATTATTATTAAGCACCATTATGATAAAATTGTCAACTAGCTGTAAGTGGAATTCTGTCTTAAGGCAATTAGGGCATCGTGCCTTAAGGCAAATTGCTGGAACTTCCCGTACCAAAAATTATTATTTTTTTAAAAACGATTAACATTTTTGAAAAAAATTTACTTGGAAATAATTAGATTTTTGAGAAACTAGGAATATGACAAAAAATTACTTTTTTTTGAAAAAAAAATTTTTATTTGAAAAAAAAAATTTTTTTTTGAAAGAAAATTTTTTTTTTGAAAACAAACTATTTTTTTGAAAAGAAAAATGTTTTCTTCATTTTGACATATTTTGGAAATTCTGAACTTTTTTTCAAAGCAATCGTACTGCTTGAACTGCATAGAGACGAATTGTCACAGCGCAAGTGCCGCGCCGCCGTCTAACGCATAAACATTGGTACGGAACCCATAGAAATGTAAAAAAAATTATACTTATTGTTAAAATTTCTATACAATATCTGATAATTTCATGTGCATATGTCTAATCATCATTTTTAACCGCCGAATGGCATTTTTTTTACTTTTTTCATTAGATCTCCGAAACCGCTAGATCTGCCTTCATGAAAATTTGATCAACTCTTCATCTTGCCAATACAAGTAAAATGTTTTTTGAATTATTCAAATCTGACGCTCCGTTCTCTTAAAAACTGAGTTACCGTTTTCGGCACTTTTTGCCCCGTATCTTCGGAACGGCTAGACCTAACTTCGCCAAAAACTAATCAGCACGTCTCCTTATCAGTACAAATCGAATGTTTTTTTAATTATTCAAATCGGTTGATCCGTGTTCCCGGAATCGTCGACGAAAATTTGTATCCGCACATACATACACACACATACATACACACACACACACACACACACACACACACATACATCCATTTTTTCTAAGGTATGCCAAAATGTTCGGAAACCTCTGAAACGTAAAGATATATAAAAATTTTCATTTTCGATTTTTTTGCGATTACTATAACTTACCCTACGGGAAGTTAAAAATATCACCTCGAAATTTATATAATTCAAAGAAATTAAGAGATTAAACTACAAAATAAATGAGTTATGTAAGAAGATAAAATTTATCTTTTAATCACAAACAAGTCATTCAAGGATATAATAATCATAATTAAGATATATAATAAGGTATCTGATAGTGTATTAGCTATTTTCTGTTATATTGAAATAGCCAAACAAAAACATTAACTAAATGCCACATTGCAAACAAAATATACAATAAAAACTATGATTGCAGATGATTCTATTTTGTCTCACAAATATTATCTGACAATCACATAAATTTTAGAATAGAACTAAATATTATTATATTTAGATTTCCGATAAAAATGCATTTAAATTTCGATCATTTTTAATTTTTGTTAACAAAGTTTATCATTTTAACAGTTAGTTTGACTTTCTACAAAAACGAACAAACTATGTTGTATATAATTTCTTCTTTTTCTTAAAAAAATAATGGTGAGTTATAAATAAAAAAATGTTCTAATATTTTATTTGTTTCTATTATTTTAATTGTTTTAATCTACGAATTGTGCCTAAATTGTAAACAACAAATAAATGGTATATTTATTTCTCCAAGAACATGTGTACCTTTAAATGAATACACATTTTAAAGTAACATCGTAGTATAATTCTTGATTTAATGAAAAATGCCTGAATCAGAAGAATAATTTACCCTGTTCCTTGAAAATATTGATTAATAAGATTAATGATTAGTAAGTTTATTGATTAGAAATTATTTCTATATTATTCGTAGTTTCTATAAATCTTTGAAGTTATTAAATTGGAAAATATTTATTAGGCAAGACAGATATTACAGCTGTTCAAAGAATGAGATTATATCGCCAGCGAAAAAGTAAAAAAAATACAAGCAGTCAATGAATGTATGTTAATTTTAATTACATGAAGTTCTTCAAAGGGTGAAGTTGAGGAAACAATATTTGTTTAGACGTTGTTTAATATAATCCACTATGTGAACGAATATTATAGAATTTAAAAGTCAGCAATTACTTCATTTCTCTAATGAAGGTTCATTTCTAGATGATAATTACAATGACAAACCGATCATGCTATATTTAAAGTATGACTTTAATTGCATTATTGTTTTTAAATATCATACATATTTTTAATGCTATTATAAATATATAATTTATAATTTATCATTATATAAATGTGTGTAATGGTTGACACTAATAAATGTGTGCATCACGAGTGTTACCATATTACTGATAAACATTATTCAAAATCGTTATATGACGTATTTATTTTTACTTAAATGCCATCTTGTACAGTAGAAAATAAGTTTTACTTCAATCGCGTGTGAACCTTACGCGCACTTTTTTTTAAATCTGTTTGGTGTTCTCAAGAAAAACAATTAAGACAAAACAACCTATTCATTTCATACAAAGATGTAGAAGCACGTTACCTGAGTTCTTCTACCACATCCCAGATATATATCGGGAATCAATATTATATCACAATGGCTTATAAAATTACTTATTCCGATTGGTATTCAAGGCATTTATGAGCAAATTATTTGGTTTTACCTCGTAATCGTGTTTGGCATGCTCCTGTCCTCCGTGGCAAACGTAGGCAACTTGTTTGTCTGGAATGGCTTTTGCTGGGAGAAGATCACCATTGTGGTGAGCTCGGGCGACGTAGATGGGTGCTCCATCGACATCAGTACCAGCGCGCACTGCTGATGCAGGAACGTGGCCGTAAGTGTTGTAGTGTAACCAGGTATCTGCAGGAGAGAAAATATTAATATTAAAGTCAATGGTAATAAAATTATGTAAGACATTAGGTTGATCCGAAAGTAATTACGATATATCCCGATGTAGGAGTTAATTGCAGTTGTTTTAAAAAACTTTATCGACCATCGCGTCCAACTCCCCTGAATATATTTATAGAGAAATTTAATTATTGCTCTGTCTAAATATTAGGTAGTTGCCCTTTCTAATATCAACAAGATTCAAATAAGCACCATGTTTGTCAATTTTTTTAATATAGAAAGGGAAAATTAAGTTTGAACAATTACAAAGAAATTATTGAGTAAGAAATCTATCAATGCATATTAAGAAGGCGTATTGGCATTTCGTCAATAAATAAATTAATGCAAAATTCAAATTTGGCTATTTTGATGCTTAAGTGCATTACGTTCTGGAATTCCTGCTAAAGCCAATAAAGGTATTGTCTGATTTTACTAAATACAACTACTTCTGGCAGTTTGTGCCAGTGATTTCTAGCAGTTTGTACCAGTAATTTTTGAACATATTTTAGGTTTGAGAAATCGGAATAATATTTTGAACGACCCAAAAATTGCACTCAACAATCTTCTACATTATTATACAATTTATATATGTTTGTTATTCTAAAACAAATAATTTGCAGACTTATGTTTCTTTCATGATACTCATAAAAAATTTAAATGTCTCACAATCAATAGCTCATAGAAGGACGTTAATATAAACTTCTGTTATATTTCAGATATTTTGCACTCTTTAGGGGGCGTCCATTAATCACGTGAGCGAGATTTTAAGGAATTTTGGACCCTCCCCTCCCCCTTGGTGATACGTGGTGATATTCAAAATTAACCCCCCCCCCTCCCCCACTAAACATCACGTGTATTTTTAGTTAGGTAACAAAATTTTTGACTTTTTTGAAAACGTTCGTTTTTAAATCATCTAAAAAATAAATACACGTGATATCTTACTTTACCCCTCCCTCCCCCACGTGATATTTTGTGATTTTTTGTCAAACCCCCCTCCCCCTAGAAACATCACGTGATTAATGGACGTGATTAATAATTAGTTTTGTGCGGATTTTGTCATCCTTTTACATTTCCTGTCAAGCAATTAACTATTTTGTCTAATAAGATATTAATGAGTATGACAACAAATTCAGATACAGTATAACAGATACTCCAATTATTAGTTTAAAAAATTCTCAAATAACTTTATGGAAACAATGAAAAATGGAAACTAAAACTGAAATTAATCTTAATTAGGTGAACAAAATATATAATGTTATACTTTTTATTATGATAGCCTAAGTTAATTCTTTTGAATCATCAATGTAGTCAGCATAATTATATTATTTATAAACAAATATTAAAAAGAATTAGAAATTTTATACAAAATAATTCATCAACTTAATGAATTCGTGATTGAAGGTACATAAACACCTATTTTATATTCATCATTAACAATTTATCCATATTTTAGGAAGTATTAATTAGTTATATACAAAATACTGCATGAAACATAAAAGTGCAGAATGATAACTAAATAAAAAGTGTTAAATAAAATAAATGTAATAAATTACGTTCAGATAATTGGAAACATAGAAATAGTGATATTTTTAAGCCCATGTTATTTAACTCTTTTGCTACGAAAGTACTACCCAGGATTGATTTTTCATTTCAGATTTTAGATTTTTTAATTATTATCAATATAGAATTACACTTTAAAAAACAAAAAATCACTATAGCATATTAGATATTCAAAATTTTTGATAATTTAATACGTCATGATAAATATTGAATATTGAAAAATTCGTCAAACTGCATGTCGTCTATAGACGACATTCGTACGCCGAGGTTGTTAATAGACGGTGCTCGTAGCGAAAGAGTTAAAATTGTTTCATTAACAAATTAAGGCGATGTGTTCTTATATTATGGAAGTAATGCGTTAGTAAATATAAAATATTAGTTAAATTTATCACAATCAATAATTTTGCTGAATTCTCCAAATGTACAAGTATATAATCAGTCTAATCTCTGATTACCGAATTGAAACATATTTATAGCACTTTATTTAAACAAGTGATACCGATTTTGGTGCCGGATATGCGCCAGGCCTTGGATTTGTAATATTTTGACGATGATAAGAAATTATCGATGATATTACTAATCACTAAATCGATAATACAAAAAATATTATTAAAAGTATAGAAATGAGCTTATTTGTTCCGACGATAATGTATAATATGGAATATTAAATAATTAATGGATTTATATAATACTACAAACCACGCTTTATAATTTTTGAATAAATATAATTCTACTCGACAATTTCAGAATCATATTTAGAGAACAAATATTAAGGTGTACAACGTGCATAACATATGTATAAATAAATAATTATTTTAAGAAAATTAAATAAAATATTTTATGTAATATAATTATGTATTAAATAAATTATTTAATGCAAAATTTTGTTTAAATAAAAACAAATATATGCGGATATTAAGATCTTCAAGGTATATGACATATAAATAATTATGGTAAGAAAAATAAATACATTTTTCCATGTACATTTATTTTATTATTAGACTTATTAATTACCCATATTACTCGACTATATTATTTCTAGTACAGCTCTAATCACAAAATGACTATTTATTAAATTTATTTTTTTGCAACTGTTATAATATTTTTGATTATCAAACCCAATACCCTGTAAATATAAAACTTTTTTGCGCCTTCGACATGAAATCAGAATTATATACTAATTTCAACTAATTTTTACGTTTTCTCAATAATATTTTTTATAATTCACGAGTAATGCACGTATTATTTTATATATTAGCGTACTTAATAAATTAAACAAAATTAATTTGCGATATTTTCCATTATATAAATAATGTATATATATATATATATATATATATATATATATATTATGATATTATATCGCATATATATTAAACGTAGCATAGTTATTTAAATAACAATGATTTTTCCAGTTTATGAAATATTCGTAGAAAAATCACACGTAACACTTAACAAATTTTAGAGAATGTTCAAAAGCTAACATAAATTAATAAAATTTAAAATTGCATCGAACTTCAATTTATCAAATAGGTTAGAAATATTGTTAGTCCAGTCATTTAAGCTTAACTTATGTAAGAATCTCGGAATTCAAGATATCCAGCTGTAAGCCTGTAAATACTTGTATATTGACACCCTAAAGTTGTCTCAAAACCTACATATAGTAGGGTGTCAATACCATATGTAGGTTTTGAGACAACTTTCTAGTGTCAATGTATTTACAGACTTACAGCTGGGTATCTCGAATTCCGAGTTGAACTTAGTATAATGACTGGACTATGTCAGGAACAAAATACAGAAAGAAAATTGAAAAGAAAGTTGAAAGGTAATTACACATTTGACATTGCACAGAATGAATTTTAAGTAGAAGACTAAGCAGTAGTAGTGACATCAACTTTTACTACAAAATATAGTTAGTTATTAACTTCCAAGTGAAAATAGCCCTTTCCCAGTATTGCTGCATCAAATTAAAGAATTATTTCATCACTATTCGAGAAATTCTTATAATATAATACATCGAATATAGATAGGTTAACCGTTGGTTTGCCTTGTAAAGAAAACCATGTAGTTATAAAATATCATTACATCCTTATAAAAATTTGAAGAATTCATAAGCTGTTGTGATGATTTAGTTTACTATGACAATTTTTTAGATGGCAACCCAAATAGTTGTCCTATCTCTACGTGATGAATTTTATTATTACAATTTTTGTAACACTGATGATTTTTTAATGATGCAGCAGTATCAGGTAAAAGCTATTTCTACTTAGAAACATATTGCTATCTATATTTCGAAGTGAAAATTAATGTCACTATTGCTTGCACCAGGCTGCCCGAGACGAGTATCAAAAATGGAAGCCCTGATTGAAATCCCACAGCTCTAACTACTAATACACGGGCGAGACCTGGTTACAAGATATAGAATAATCTAAGACTAGGAAACATTAAGTGATTAATGTGAGTCAGAGAAAAAAATGTTAGTCTGACATAAAATTAGTAAGAACTCCACACGGATGAAAAACATTGAGTTAATCATGATGAATTCCGTGCCTTACCAGGAATTAAGTTAACGTCAAATGTATTGCTTTCATATATAGGATCGCTCTCATCATCGACAATATCCGCCGATCCTACAGCGAAAGGCATTGCTTGAACATGTGCTAAAGGATAAGAAAGCTGTGCAGGATGAATATATTCCTGTTGACCAGGCGGAAGTAAATCTGATCGAAAGCCGTAAGCCATCGGTTTCTGGCCGTCTTCGTCTACAATCACCAGGCACGAATAATACCGTACGGTAAAAGATTAAAAAATTAAGCAACATTATTTTCTTAGAAGGATTAGTAATGGGTTATATTTGAAATTATTAGTAGTAGACACTCCCTACAATCATAGTAATTAAACCATAGAAAAGATATCTATTGAAATATCGCAGTTTTATGAAATTGATAACCATTTTGTCAACAAAATTATTTCAAACAGATATATCATTCGTGATAAATTATTTTTGGATTGTTAGTATAATTCTAGACCGCGTTTGGGTTTTTCTAATAATAATAAAAATAAAAGTGGGTTAATAATAATATCAGGTTTAATTCACACAATTATATATAGATATTAAACAGATGAGTCTTTGCATATATTCTATTGTAATCTCCAATAAATAATAAAAAAAAAACAAAAAAATATGTATATCGACGTTTAACAAAACTAATATTTGAAATATTATGTAAAAATATTTCTTTACATAATCTAGTCACCTACAATTTTTATTATGCTAGTTTTGTTTGTTTATCTCTGAACTAAAAGTCTGTTTTTTCCTAAAAAAAATATTTATTTATACTTCCCGTAGAGTAAGTTATAGTAATCGCAAATAATAAAAAAATGATAATATTTACATACCTTTACGTTTCAAAAGTTTCTGAACATTTTGGCATACCTTAGACAAAATAAATGTATATGTGTGTGACTGTAGTTTGTATGTGTGTAAGTTTGGAAACAATTTTTTGACCACGATTTAGAGAGCACGAATAAATCGATTTGAATGATTCAAAAAACATTCGATTTGTATTGACAAGGAGACGTGCTGATTAGGTTTTGGCAAAGGCAGATCCAGCGGTTTCGGAGATCCAATAAAAGAAATTAAATGAAATGCGATTTGGCGGTCAAAAATGATCATTAGACATATGCACATCAAATTATCAGATATTTTATAGAGATTTTAATAGCAAGAACATTTGTTTACATTTCTATGGGTTCCGTACCAATATTTGTAATAATTTACGCACTTCTATAAGTTTCGCCTCTAAAACAGTTACGCAGCGTGATCGCTTTGAAAAAAATTCAAATGTTTTCAAAATTTTCAAAAAATGTTTTAAAAAATCTAATTTTCAAAAAAAAAAATCTTAATTCTCAAAAAAAAATGTTTTTTTTTTCAAAAGTTTCAAAATTATTTAGAGCTTTTAAAAATTTTAAATTACGTTACGCAAAGTTCCAGCAACTTGCCTTAAGGTACGATGTCATGCCTTGCTAGCTTTACATTTATTTTAGAATTTTTTGGAAGGATTTTCAGATAAAATATCTGATAATTTGATGTGCATAGTCTAATGATCATTTTTGACCGCCAAATAGCATTGTTGTTACCTTTTTTTTATTGAATCTCCGAAATCGCTGGACCTGCCTTTCTAAAAATTTCAATTTTTTCGATGATACGAAATACGTTCGTCCTCAAAAACTATGAAACTAACATTTTTTTAGACTCTTTTTTAAAAATAAAAACATACATTGGCTAAAAATTATATTTAAAATTACGTCGAACTAGGTTTTTCATTTGAAAATTCGTATAATTAGCAATGTCTTAATTAAATAAATATTTTTTTGAGAAAAAAAGGTTATATGTTCTATATTTCAAATACTTATTATTTTTTTTAACAATAGATTGAAGAATTAGAATCTGAATTATTTTCGAGATACAAACAAAAAATTTTTTTGAAAATGTTTTGTAGATGATTCAAATCGGATACTCCGCTTTCCCGGAATAGGAATCGATTGCTTTTTGAATTTTTCAGAACGGCTCATCCATACGCCCGAAATTGTCGACAAAAAATGGTCTTCAAACATACACTACACACATACACACACATCGATTTTTTCTGAAATCTCTGAAACGTGAAATTATGCAAAAAAATTCGTTTTCGATTTTCAGCCCATAACCTACCCTAGAGAAAGTTAATAATAACAAAATAATAATAACAGCTTAAAAAATAAATGATTATGTTGAATTGAAATATTTAGAGATATTTTTAGAACGCAAATGTACACACAAAATATTTTAAAATTATTGCTATATGATGGAATTTTAAAGTTCGACTATGAAATATAATTACTGTATGTCAGTAACAGTTTCTCAAAAACTAACCTAATAGAAAATGCTAATTTTATATAATTGTATCTGTACCAATAAATAAAAAATAATAATATAAAAGCCCGATATATAAATAAATTTTGAAATATTCTTATATAATGCACCAATTAAATACAGAATAAAAATAATTCTATTCTAGTAGATTCTTAAACAAACCCCAGTAGTTCCCTATTTACCCACATTACTCGATCGTTCTATTTCAAGCCCAAATTTAACTTTGAGATGACTAATGATTATGCAATTATTTATTACAGAATTTAAAATTAATCTCGATATATTAATTGCATTTATTTTAAATTTTAATATATTCAACTAAAGGTCAATGTTTCACATTTTCATAGTATATAATTTATTTTACTCTAAATGTATATCTAAGTCCGCAGTAGATTTATAATCTCGATCTTGCACGATTAACCAATTTCGAAAAAATAAAACACTTATAATAAATGATTAATAAAATATCACTCACCTCCCATTTTCAATTTTTTTTCCTTGCGAATCTCGTGAGTCGAGTACGTGGCACGTTATACGCAAATGTATCCAAATATCGAGTACTTAAATAATGAACGTTATCTCTTTGTTCGAGTTATTACTGACAAAGATATGATATGAATTGTATTTCTGGGTAAAGTGCTTATTGATTCAGTAATATGTAATAATATAAGGCGATGATGTGGTTTTCAGATAACTGAAAACTTTGCATTCGTGGATTCTTAACTTTCTTTACACATGGGGGCGTTCATTAATCACGTGAGCGAGTTTTTAAGGATTTTTGGACCCCCCCTCCCCCTTGGTAATACATGGCGATATTCAAAATTACCCCCCCCTACCCCACCAAACATCACGTGTATTTTTAGTTACATGATAAAACTGTAAAATTTTTAATTTTTGAAAATTTTTGATTTTTTATAAAAAAATTATTTAAAAAATAAATACACGTGATATCTTACTATATCCCCTCCTCCCCCTAAAAACCTCACGTGATTAATGGACGCCCCCCAAATAATGTATAGCCTCAAAAATAGATTACAGGTATCTACTGAATGTAGTACATAATAGGGTAGAACAGAGGTTAAAGGTGCGCAGGTAAATAGATCCACTACGATATTTCAAAAACAAGTTCAAAATTTTTTTAATAACAATATTTGAAAGTAAAGCAAAAAGATGTAAAGCCAACCATCACCTTCATTCTTACGATTCGAGAAAACTTGGATTAGAAAAATCCAAGGCAAAAGTATTTTCTTTCGTTGTGAGCACTGTTGTTTAGTTTATGAGACTTTAATATAATGTTTAAGTATACGCTATATAATTGTTTTATAAGGCGTATTGTTAATTTTAAGCTCGATTCAACAGTTTTTTTATATAACCACTAAAAATACATACACATGGTTGAGATAAAAAGAACCTTTACCCTGGCAAAGGTGTAAACAATAAGAAATAGTATATAAAAAATAAGCAATTTTACAAGAGATACATTAAATAAATAGTTATTCCACCTCTGGTGAATGAATATTTCGAACGAAATACCAGATCAAGGTTATTTACAGTGTTATTGTTGTAAAAATGCACCCAATAAATTTATATTTTGCATTGATTGAATGATGTATTTATTATTTAGTAAAATACTTTTAAAATTAATAATAAAACATTGAATCTGTTTGCCCCCTAGCCGACAAAACCCTTTTTTAAAAAAACTTAATAAATTATTTTGTGAAATATTAAGCATCTGCTATAAGAAAATACTGACAGAATTACATAATCATGTACATAGTTCTAGATATAATTTAATGATATAAATAAATGGCAACATTTTTTACAAAACTAGAGAAGTTTTGTAGACTGTTCATTTACTTTCTTGCTAACTCCAAAGCCATTTTTAATTGACTTGATTCACTTATCACATCACAAAAGCGACTTTTAACACAAATTTTGATTATATTTTTTCGAACTTTGATAAATTTTTAAAATTAAATTACTACTTGTCGTAGGGCCGTAATATTTTAGTATGTTTTTTACGATCATGATATCTATAGTCAAAAAAAAAATTCATAAAAATCGACAGAAAAATATTCAACAGTTAATTACAAGAAAACGGCTCGGTCGATCTTTACCTAAAACTAATCAGTATCAATCCCAGCCACTATCTTTCGAACAGTTCTTGATTTTTTAAAATCAATTCAGGATTGTGAGCTAAAACTCGGAAGAATTGTTTTACACTTACAAAGAAACGGCCTGGCCGATCATCACACAAAACTGAGAAGCGATAATCCCCATCGAGATACATCAAATGTCCTCTAAATTTTTGAAATCGGTTCAGGCGTCTTCAAGCAAACGTCGATGGAACGTCAAATTTTGGCAAACGACAAAAAAACGATACTATTTTATTCAAACTTTGACGAATTTTTAAAATTGAATGACTTGTCGTAAAGCCGTAATATTTTAGTATGATCTATAAGACCATGGTATCTATAGTTAAAAAAATATAAAAATTGTCAAAAAAAAATTTTCAAGAGTTAATTACAAAAATTAAGTTAATTACAGAATTGTGGTTTCAAACGTGGACAAAAAAAAAATCACTTTTCTGCTATTTACAGAGAAACGGCTTGGACGATCGTCGCGCAAAACTGACAAAGTCCTTATCGAGTTACATCGAATGGCTTTTAAATTTTTGAAATCGGTCAAGCCGTTTTTGAGAAAACGTCGATTTAAGATGACAAATTTTGTCTCATTCTATTCAGAATGGCTTGAAACGTCGAGAAAACATAAAATTAGCAAATCGTATTTTTTGATGAAAACAAACTTCTCCTTCGGGAAG